GGAAGAGGGCGTGGGGAGCAGCTCAGATGCTTCGCAGATAAAGCCATGCTCTGAGTTTGTGCCCCCCCCGGGGGGGCTGAAGTCCCTTTCTCTCACTTGAGCTGCGTTTTTGACTGCAGTGCAGCGAGAGGCCTGTGCAGCAGCTTGTCTCTGTGCTGCTGGCTCCAACGCTAAAATCTGTACTGTGTCGAGCAGCAGACGCTGTGAACTACGGCTTGGCCTCATCCGACCGGAGCACCTTTCTGCAGGCTCCTGAGGCAAAACCAGACGTTGTCCCTGCTGCAGGGATGAGTGCCGAGGGGACGGCTTGTCAGCAGGCAGCTGGGTGCCAGCCCCGTGCCTGCGTGGGAGCAGACATCTTGAGAACCCACGGAGGCAGAGCAGGTCTGTGCAAGGGGGTGACACCGGTACTGTGGTGTAAATGCCTGAAGCAGAAACAGGGAACCGTCTGCTGAAAGGAATGGGTGCCGAGTGACTGGGGAGGTTGGAGAGGTCGCTGCCTGCCGTGCATTTAGGTATGGCTGCTGCAGCCCTTTGCGCTGGTGTATTTGTCCCTCCCCTTGGCAAGCCCTTTCTCAAAGTGCTTCTGGCCTTGGATTTGCATCTTCTCTGCCCAGCACCTACCACAATAAAATGATGGATCCAGTGTTTCATTGCACTATCACCTCTCTCTTCCCTTTCCACACCTACCTGTCCTACACACCACCTCCAGTTTGAGCAACTTCCCCTCTGAGCTCATCTTGGCCGGACTCTACCGCTAGACTCTTTGATCCAGTTGCCTTCTTAGGAAGCTGCTCGAGCAACCTGACAATCCAGCTGAGCATCCTTAGGTGCCTTAAAGCCAAGTCCATCTCCAAGCAATAACCACGGCAATTTTGACTAAAGCCCTTTGAGCTGCAGCTGAACAGAATTCCCTTCTGCGAGAGGGGAAGTCTGAGATCTCGCCCCTTCAGGCTGTCTTGGAGTTTATTTGCTGGTTGTAGTTGGAGCTGCGACAGCACCTTCTTGGGAACCTCCTCTGCCGTGGCATGCTCGGCTCTGGCCTTTTTCTCCAGTGGCCATGCGGTGCCAGAGGAGGAGGATGGAGGGGAGGAAGGCTGTCCTGCGCAGGAGGAAGGAGCTGCCTGAAGAATTCCAGAGTGAAACACGATCTCTCGGCTTCCTGCTGCAGCACTGGCTCCTGCTAGGGGATTAGATGCTGGCGGGGGGTCCGGGAGGCTTTACATTGTTGTATTGTACACCAGCCGAGGCGGTGCCAGGCAGCCCGGCCTCCTCCTCGGCGAGGCCGCAGGCGACCGGGAGCCTTGCTGCTTCGGGGTCACCTCCGTCTGGCGTCTGCTTAAAGATGCTGTCAGTGTATTTCAGCCCAAGAGTTGAAGAGGGAAAAGCCTCTCTGATGCATGTTCTTGTACGGCTCTGTTTTAGTGGGCTGTTTCTAGGTTGTTGGGGTTTTTTCCCCCCCCCCCCCCCCTTTGTGTGTTTCGCCCCCCCCCCCCCCCGTTGAATAGGGCAATAAAACTTCATTCTTGGGGGGGCTGGGTGTTCTCTAGCATCGAATAAAAAAAAATCGATGCGGGAAGCACTGCCTGTCTGTGGGAATATCCCTACCAACCACCTCACCTGCTGGTCTGTGCAGGGCAGGGAACTTCCCCCTTCGTTTCACACTTAGAGGGGGTTTAGTTTTCACCTTTGGTGGATGCTGGAGGTCTGCAAGCACAGCACGTGCAGCAGCAGAACAAGCTCTTCCCGTTGTCCCCGTCTGCTCTGCAGCCTGTTCAGGTGCTGACCCCTCTTCCAAGACCACCAGGTAAAAGAAACACAGGGGAGATGTCTGCTGCTAAACGCAAGCAGGAGGCTTGTGATGCAGAGCCTGGGCTCTGTGACCCCCTCCAACTTGCTCAGTGATCACCCAGCACCCCAAGATGGTAGCAGATGCTTTGGCCTGGCGTTTATTGCTTTTATTGCCTGTCCTCTGCCTGGAGCAGCCCCAGCTCTGGGTGCCACGGCAGGGGGAAGGTGTTCATTCCTCCTACCCTGCCGTTGCCATCAAGCAAGGAGGCTGTGGTTGCCTCGTGGCTGTTGCGTGCAGGGACAGGGTGCAAAGGGAAGGTGTCCATCTGCCAGCAAGCACGGCCGGAGGCCGAGTGCCCTGCAGAGCGAGAGCCCGGGTGCTGGCACAGCTTGTATGCTGAGGTTGGCTTGAAAGCAACGGTGCAATAGTGGGGTCCAAAGTATAAACGCGTTGGTCCAGTGCCTGCCAAGCAGAGAAGTGCTGCTTTCTCCCTCTGCGCATTTCTGCGCTCCTGGGCTGCCCTCGAGCCCTGTCTGTGAGATAGCAGCAGGGACGGGGTGGTCTGGAGCATGCTGGCTCGGCTGTGCTCCCTCCTGTCCCCTCTGCTGCGGCTTCTGCTGGGCTGAACTGACGGTTCATCTTTTGAGCTTTGTGGGGCCTGTTTATAAGCCTTCTCCTTTGGAGGAGCAGCTGCTCAGCTCAGCAGCATCTCGTGCACAAGGGAGCTCATCCAGCTGTACCCTGAGAGCTGAGACTGTTGCTGGACTCCGACATCTCCTTCAGCCAGGATTTTTGTTTTGCCATATAAACCAGCCCCAGTTTGCATAGATTTTGCCAGCTGAGATTTATTCTACATGATTCAAGATAACCTGAGTGGCAAAACTAAAGTTTCCAGGTAGGCAATGTTTGACCTGCTTGCCAGTTATTTTGCTTGGCAGAAAATACGTATTTTACTGGAAAAAAAAAAAAAAAAGTCGTGTTCCTTAGTGCTTAGGCTGTGAACGCTCCCCGGGCAGCGTTTCAGCAGGGTGGGGTTTAGGGAGGCTGAGGTACAGAGTTGGTTTCAGGCAGCCCGGGTCCCGTTGCCAGCTTTGCCAGTGGCTCTCCGTGACGGCGTAGCTGCTTATCAGAGGTAGCAGATGGGGAGACTTGGAACCTCCTGACCCTTTGGTCGGTCTAAATCAGTGCAACTTGTTCAGCGCGCTCGGCTGGCTGCGCAGACTTCTTTGGAGCAGAGGCTGAGGATGAGGTCAGGGTACCAGAGGGCTCTATATTTTTCTGGAACCTAAGGAAAAATCCCTTCCCGCACGAGCATTTGCTCCCTTGGTGTCTCCCCTCATGGGGCTGTGCAGTGGCTCAGGATCTCGTCCTGTTGGTGTAACTGGTGTAAGCCAAGAAGCGGATGGAGAGCATTTACAAGGACCAGGGGTGTTTTTAGCAGAGCCACCTGCCCCGCAGCAGGGATGAGGGGGGTGGCCAACCCCAGCACCAGCGGGGAGGGATTCTGACCCTGGAACTGCCCGGCTGCGGTGCTCTTACTGGTCCGAGCTGGGTTTCAGCAGGGAAGCAGGGCCTCTCTGTGGTTTTTGGCTCTCCGAGGTGTTTCGTTTCAGCCCGGGGGAAGCGCCCAGCGCGTTGGCAGGGCTGCTCCTCCTCTGCAGTCCCCCCGCGTGAGTGGAGAGCGGAGAGCTGCACCGAGGGCCGCCCCGTCACCCGCTACTGCGGCGGCGTTTACGGCAGGTAGCCTTGGGCTGTGTCGGGCCAGAGAGTTCTCCTAGCTCTGCATTGCTTCTGCCGCTTCCCAGCAAGCACTGGAGATATAGGCAGGAGTTTTTGACTGTCTAAACAGCTCTGGAACATAAGAAGAAAAAAAAAAAAAACCTGGGGTGGTGGGTTAGATAAATATGCCAGAGTGCACATCCATGAACCAGCAAAGAAACGAACATGGGGAGCTCGGTATCAGGGACCGCGACTTGTGTTTAACTTGGATTAACTATTTATTAAGTTTTAGTTAATACCAGCAGTGCGTGGTCTCCCTCCTGCTGCTGTGCAGCTCTGCAAATGCTTTCTGCAGCTCAAGGCAGGGTTGGACTAAGCTGGAGGGCGGCTCAGCGAGGCAAGGGAAGGGAAGGGGAGAGAACAGGCTGAGGGGGAACACGCGGGACTCGGCAGAGGAAGGATGAGCTGCGGAGCCACTGACAGAGGATGCTGCTTCGTTTCTGGAGGGCAACACATGGGAGCAGCGAGGTTGAGACACAGTGTGCTGAAAACAGGGACAAAGTATGGGTGGGATCAGGCAGGGTCTTAATGGAACCGGTAAAATAATGTGCTGGGGAGACAAAAAGGCGTCGTGTACAGCAGTTCCTGCTGGAGATTTCTGTTTGCCTTTTCAGCTGGCAGGACCGTCCTGGCCCATCTCTTCATGTGTTACCTACTCTGTACGTGCCTGTTTTCTCCAAAGCAGCACTCCTGCGCTGTGCTTTGCCTCTGCGTATCCAGTAGGTTTGCTGCCTGGCAAAGGCAAACCTGACCTTGACACAAACATGTGGTTCTCACCTCTTTTAGCAGCGTCGCCCGTAAGCTGAAAAACTGGCCAGCACAATGGGAAAAAAACAGAACAAGAAGAAAGTGGAAGAGGTCTTAGAGGAAGAGGAGGAGGAGTATGTGGTGGAGAAGGTCCTGGATCGGCGAGTGGTAAAGGGCAAAGTGGAATACCTGCTGAAGTGGAAAGGCTTCTCGGAGTAAGTGCCTCCCTGCCTGGTGCAGCGGGGTGGGTGCTGGGCTGCTCCAGCGCGAGTCTCTCTTCTGCCTTTGGCTCCTGAACCCTCTCCGGGCAGGTGGCTCCATCTCCCTGCGCCTCCCCTTGTCTGTAAAATGGAGCTAACAGGCCAAGGGCAGCCGTAATGATAAAAACAGCGGTGCTAAATGCCTCAAGCTCTAATCAGGGCGATGAGAGCACAGCCCAGGTGAGAAAGTCCCGTTTCTGTCTTGCAAACGGGCTGTGCAGTGCTTGGTGGGGCTTCCCCCCCTTTAACCTAGCGTGAAACAAGCAGCTGGATAAAATGAATTGCATTTCTCTCCTGAGAAGGGAAATAACTGCCCTGCCCTCTGGCATCCCTGCCTGGATGCAGGGTCCTGTTTCATGGGGCGAGGACACCTGCATCCAGGCAGCTGCTGCTCTCAGCATCTCCATGTTGAGCCTGTGTCCAGGAGTTTTCTTGGCAGGGAAAGCTGCAGCAAGCTGCCCGTATGTAAAACTCAGCTGTTGTCTTTGATTGCAGTGAAGATAACACATGGGAGCCAGAGGAGAACCTCGACTGCCCGGACCTCATTGCAGAGTTCCTTCAGTCCCAGAAAACCGCACATGAGAGTGAGAAGTCTGAGGGAAGCAAGCGCAAAGCAGAGTCTGACACGGAGGATAAAGGGGAGGAGAGCAAACCAAAGAAGAAGAAGGAGGAGGTGAGGCAGGGTGGGGTTTCTCTGCTCAGCTCCCTGCCCCTATGTTTGGCACAGTGTCTAGCAGCTAGAGCAGCCACGCTCTGAAACCTCGGTCAAACTGTTCTCCTGCATGGAGGAGAAAATAATGCGCTTCAGCGAGACACAGCTGAAGTGCTTTTGAAAAGCACTTTGAAAAGCAGGAGGCATGAGCTGTTGCCTAAGCCTGGCCTCTCCATCAATCCAGAGCCGGTTCTAGCACTAAATTGAAAGGCTGGTTCTTGAACCAAAAGGGTACGGAGCCCCAGCTTCTCCCGAAGAACTGCAAAAGGGGTGAAACAGGAGGCAGGAGTTGCCTGTTGCCCCTTGAACAGGGGGAACAAGGTGGAGGGGAGAGCCTCCTGCTCAGGGTGCTCATAGCTGCTGGGGAAAAGGGACAATAAAAAGCTCTGCAGCCTGGTTTTCATCCCAGGAGCTGTTGAATCTTGGCCAACACAAGAGTTTGACCAGCAGGGCTGCGGAAATCAGGTCCTGTGCTCACAGCAGGGCACTCTGCTCCACTGTGCTCTCCTGCGTCACCTGGGTGCAATGGGCTTTTCACCAGCATTCAGTTCCCCGCTGGCCCCAGTGATTATAGTCGGAGCATCTGATACGCAGAGCCTTTCTGAGCAGCCACCAGTGTGTCCTGGTGACCAGAAGCAGGGCTGTGGCTGTCACCCTGGTGATGCTACAAGTGGAAACTTGTCTCTTTTCAGTCGGAGAAACCGCGAGGCTTTGCCCGAGGATTTGAGCCGGAGCGAATCATTGGTGCCACGGATTCCAGCGGGGAGCTCATGTTCCTGATGAAGTGGTGAGTGTGTCTTTGTGTCTGTCACTTCTTCACTTATTCTGTGCCAGAGAGGGAAGGACCTGCGCCTGGGGAGTCCCTGCTACCTGGCATGAAATCTCTTGCGATGGCGCTGCTGCCTGAGGTGACCCTCTGCGCTGAGGCTAACGTGGATGTGAAACAAGCAGGTAGGGCCCTTGGGATTGTGTGGCTCTTAAGGTGTCCCCCCCACAGCAGGCGCGAGCTTGGGGAGAGAGAGGGGCATGATGTCATGGCGCGGGCTGCAGTTTTGGACGGCTGCACCCGGAGGAGAGCCGTGACGATGACCGTGTCCCCTTCGGCTGTAGAGACACAGGGCTTGTTGCTGGCGCAGGTGGGAGCCAAACCAGTCAGGCATAGCTGTGGGAGCCATTTGCTTTTGCACCGTCTCAGGAGTGGCTGGGGGCAGGGCTGCAGCTTTGATTCGGCTTCGCTCCCCATCCCCAACAACCCAGAGCTGAACTCACGCCTGAATTTTTCCTGGGCTCACGTGCTGCTTCTCCCTGCTCCAGAGCCACTCGGGAAGGGATCGCTTGGATCCCCCGAGCAGCTCGGGGTCTCCGCTTACCTGCCAATTCTTGATTTTTCTCTGGTCTCCACTTCTTCCGCCTCCCCTCTGCAGCCCCCTAACTTGCACCTCTGCTCTGGCCTGTAGGAAGAACTCTGACGAGGCCGACCTGGTCCCTGCCAAGGAAGCCAACATCAAGTGCCCCCAGGTGGTCATCTCGTTCTATGAGGAGAGGTTGACATGGCATTCCTACCCCTCAGAGGACGATGACAAGAAAGAGGACAAGAACTAACCCCTGGCACCCGCTCTGGCCAGCCTTTGTATAAAGATCTGAACTGTGGGTTTGAGCAAGAGGGAGAGAACGCAGCTCTGCTCAGCTGGGAGCGTAGGGATGGCTGGAGAAGATGCCCTTTGAAGAGACCAGTATGGTTTCTGTGCCCTGCAGCTGCTCAACTGCTTTATGCAGCTTCATGCTGTGTGCAGATTCAAACCAGCCCGGCTCAGTTTGAGGGGGGGAGGGAAGGGCAGGGGGATACCGGGGGCGTTGGGGGGAGAATCGGGGTGTTTGTTTCAAGGCTGTCTATTTTGCAGCTTGTGGGAGAGGAAGCAAAGCCCCTTCCATGAAGGACTATCACTGGTGATGGGTGGGCTGGGGAAAGGGAGTGCAGATGGATACTGCTTATTCTTCAAAGACCATCTCAGCAACCCACAGCCTTCTTCCCAATAGTGTTAACTCTGCATTTTTACGGCGTAGCATGTGTGTAGTTTTGTTTTTTGTTTTGTTTTTTTTTTTTCTTTTTTTCTTTTGCTATTTACTGGTGTATTGGCTGGGGG